GCTTTGGTGGATTTACACCTAAGAGTGGAAATTCTGGGTCATGGGTAGGTATATGCTTAGCTTTAGTAGGTACAGCAGTTGCCAAAGTAAATATATCAAACTCCCACAAGCAATATGTGTGAGTTCTGATTGCTCCACACTTTCTTCAAAACTTGTTCTTTTCATTTAAAAAAAAAATAGCCATCTGGTGGATTTGTAATGGTATATGTCATTGTGGCTTTAATTTGCATTTTCCTAAAGACTGCTGTGATTTTGAGCACATTTACATATTCTCATTATCCATTTGGATATCCTAGTATGTGAAATGCCTGCTTAAGTCCTTTATCTTCTCTGAAAACTGGGTTGTCTGCATTTTACTTAATGATTGTTTGGAGTTATTTATATATTCTGAATATAATTCTTATGTTGGATGTATATATGTGATATATCTCTCCCATTCTGTAAATTTTCTTTTAATATACCATTCCTTCCTGATTCTCAGATTTTATTCCTGAATATATTTTCTTTCTTAGACTACATCCTTCATATAGTCTGGTACTGAGAATTCAGGTTACTGCAAATCCTGTCTGTTTTTGGTTATGTGTAAGAGTCTTTATTCTTATTTTTTTTAATTATTTAATTTGGTTTACAGTTCTTGAGAGTGTTTCCCCTTGCATCCTGGCTTCCAGCTTCTGTTTTGACGTTAGAAGTCTACTGTTTTCCAAATTATTACCATAGCCTTATCTTCGTATCCATCTTCTCAAATTATACTATAATATGATGTGTTGGGAAATTACTTTTTTGTCTTTCTTGAGATATGCTAGACTTTTGAAATCTGAGACTCAGTATCATTTATCAATTCCAGAGTTTTCACATATCATCTCTGAACATTGCCTCACTTCAGCCTGGCACCGTTCTCTCAATTTCAATGTGTGTCTTCTGAAACACATCTCAACATCTTTTAACATCTCTTTTATATTTTCTCTTGTTTTTATTTGATGCCTCCTGAGTGATAACTTAAAGTTTACCGACTCATCGACTTTCTCTTCTGTTGTGCCCAACTTTAAAAAAATATATTGTATTTTTTGTTTCTAGTATTTTTATGTTTCCTTTGTACTCTTGCAAAGTACTCTTGCAAAGACCACTAAAATGAGTTTCACTTTCCGGTTGTCAATCAAATGTACAAGACAAAACAGGCTCACCTTGCATCAAGTTTATTTAGTTTTAATAAAGGGGAGAGAACAGGAGCACTATGCAGAGCAAGATAACCTTGGGGGCTTCAGACACCCCGGTGCAGCATCTCATGTGCCCAAACATTGCACTGCTGTAAGAAGGGACAAGAAGATGTTAAGAGTGTCAGTCACAGAGGGATAGGGAAGCCACAGAGACTTAAGTCTCAGCTTAAGTATCTTTCTAGTCACCTAAAGGGGTATGTAGTGAGATCCCATTCTTTAGTGAGGCTTCAGTACCTTAATGACAGAATATGTAATAAACAATAGTTAACCGTCATGCACACAGTGCTTGATTTTATCCTTTCATAAAGTAGGTCAAATAATAAATAGAGTCTTCCAGGCCAAGTCTATCCCACAGTAAGTTTACTGGTTCCACAGACACTACCAGTGGTCATTCCCTCAGTTCTCAAATTATAATCAAAACAGACATACAGACTGGCTCTTAGAACCATAGCAGTGATCCCTTGGTCTGTGGAGAAAGTCCACAGACCTATTATAGCAGAAAAAGCTGAGTTGAGGGGCTCCTGGGTGGCTCAGTCGGTTAAGCGTCTGACTTCAGCTCAGGTCATGATCTCACTGTCTGTGAGTTCAAGTCCCATGTCAAGCTGTGAGCTGACAGTTCGGAGCCTGGATCCCGCTTCGAATTCTGTGTCCCCCTCTTTCTCTGCCCCTCCCCCACTCACGCTCTCTTTCTCTCTCTCTCTCTCAAAAATAAAAGTTAAAAATTAGGGGCACTTGTACCCCAATGTTTATAGCAGCACTTTCAACAATAGCCAAATTATGGAAAGAGCCTAAATGTCCATCAACTGATGAATGGATAAATTGTGGTTTATATATACAATGGAATACTACTTGGCAATGAGAAGAAATGAAATATGGCCTTTTGTAGCAACGTGGATGGAACTGGAGAGTGTTATCCTAAGTGAAATAAATCATACAGAGAAAGACAGATACCATATGTTTTCACTCTTATGTGGATCCTGAGAAACTTAACCATGGGGGAGGGGAAGGAAAAAAAAAGAGCTAGAGAGGGAGAAAGCCAAACCATAAGAGACTCTTAAAAACTGAGAATAAACTGATGGTTGATGGGGGGTGGGAGGTGATGGGCATTGAGGAGGGCACCTGTTGGGATGAGCATTGGGTGTTGTATTGTCAATTTGACAATGAATTTCATATTTAAAAAAATTAAAAATTAAAGCTGAGTTGAATCTCTTGAATCCCTTCTTCACTTTCTTATGACCAACATACTGAACATAAAATAAATCATATCATAAGTGTATTGGCAGAAATCAGTGCCATCCTCAAAGATTTGAGGATATATAGTGTATTAGACAGAATCAATCCTTAGGGAGAAAATAAAATAAAATGTGGAAAGAGATAGGAAGAACCAGGTGGGGTTGAGGTGATAGTTTGAGACAGTGTGTTCAGGGCAGGCATTTGTACAGAACCTGAGGAATATCTGGGCAAAACTACTTCCTGTGGAGCGAAAGCAAATGCAAAGGCCTTGAATCAAGACCGTCCGGCCATGTTTGATGGGCAGTGGGGAGGCCAGCATGGCTTGAGCTCAGTGAGTGAGAAGAGGCCAGAGAGGTGACAGCAGTAAATCATGTAGGATTTTGTAAATCATTTTAGCAATTTTGGCCTTTACTCTGAATGAGGTGGGAAGCAATGTGGCATGAAATAAAATATGTTTTAAAAAGCTTCATGCTAGCTACTTCATTAAGAATAGATTGAATGTTAGCAAGAATAGGAGAATGGTGACAGGGTTAGTGCAAGTAGAAGCAGTAGAAATGATAAAATTGTGGAAATATTTCTGTGGCAACATCAGAAGAATACTTTCATTCTACTAGATTCAGTTTTTAGTGTTCCAGCTTATTGAGATATATTCCTACGAATTTTATATATCCTCTTTCTTTTAGAAGTAACTTGTATCTTAAGCCTTTGGATAAACATCCAGAAGTCTCATTAATGTTGACTTTGATCTTAAAACAAACACTTTTTATATTAAAGTCCTGGTTTTAAGAGCCGAACACATCTCAAAAAAGAACATTTTCCTTTTTCCATTTCTCACTCCTTTCCATCTCCTTCCCCAAACTGTTTACCTGATTTAATTAGGAAGACGGTAACATTCATAATTGGAAATCTTGGCAGCTATCCATACAGCCTGACCATACTGTGAAATGTCACTGGGACCATCGTTACAGGTCCCTGGTTGTGGCAGACAGGGGCAGGAGGACAGTATCTCTATTCTCCTGGCTTCTTTAACACAGGCGGCCTTCTTCTCACTAGTGAACAACTGGTTTCAGTTCTAGTTAAAAATTTTAACTTAGTTGTTATAGGAAGATAGTTATTCCACAGTTAAACATGACAAAGGACACACACACACACAAATACAAATTAAAATTAGAAAATTTATTTCCAACCTTCCAAAATCTTCCATAGATGAACATGAAGTTGATTAACACTTTTTAATAGCAACAGAGCTGGAAGCATAGTACCTATAAGGATTTGTATTGTTAGAGATGTTTATATATGATTTCCACTAGAAAGACCTTGATAGTTTATAACCAAACTAAGACATGCATTGTCTTGATTTTCTAATCAAAGAATTGTACTGACTAAAAGTACTAACTTAATTGTTCTCATATAGCAAATAAAAACCACTAATTATTCATTACTATTTGAAAAATAGAAAATTGGTCTGTGAGTTTTATGAGTTTGCCAACATCGATGAAGTGAGAAGGGACTTTCTGTGGAATTCAATAATCAAAGGTGAGGACATAAGCTTTTTGCAAAGTTCTTGTTCTTATGGGCATAAACCAGCAACATAAATAGAAGTGAAACCTTCTCAGAAAATTTCAGAAGTTGTAAATAACCAACTGTAGCATCACATGAAGTCACTAAAACAGTCTTTAGGGTATTGGAAATCAGGATTCAGTTCCACTTAAAAAGAAAAAAAAAAAGGTAAGAAGAAGTAAGCTATATCAGTTTATCAATAAAGCATTGTGTGAAAGATCTCTTACTGTAGGGTTTTTTTTTTTTTTCTGTTGAAGAGATGTTTCATGATTTGTTGTCTTCAGAGACTCCTTGGTATTAAACCAATGAATAATTGTTATACCCAATAGAAAATAATTATGATATACGAGATTAACTAACAGTTTTTGTATAGAGTATGACCTATGAACAAAGTCCAAAGCTTGCCATTAAATTCCTGTGTAACTAACAAGATAACTTCTCTGTCTCTTCATTTTATTAGAGGCAAAATAATATGTCCCTGTATACTCAGTACATAATGATACATAAATGAAATGGTTTTACTATAATCCTAACAAGCATTCATCTAAAGGGTTATCTAGTATACAGTACATAAAATAATAAAGCATATTATCTGATCTTTGGTGATATTGTAGTCATGAACTCTGGTTGTTAGGAGGGAGGGGAGAAAGTTATAGAAAATTCCTGTGACTCATGATAGCTTTGGGGGCTAAGCCTCAAACAAACTTATTTATAAACAAACTGAAAATGTGAAGTCAAATTCATTTTCACAGCTCCCAGGGAATCAGATAAGAAACTTGGGTATTTTATTATTTAAAAAAAAATTTTGTTTTTAACGTTTATTTATTTTTGAGACAGAGAGAGACAGAGCATGAACAGGGGAGGGGCAGAGAGAGAGGGAGACACAGAATCTGAAATAGGCTTCAGGCTCTGAGCTGTCAGCACAGAGCCGACGCGGGGCTCGAACTCACGGACCGCGAGATCATGACCTGAGCCGAAGTCGGACGCTTAACCGACCAAGCCACCCAGGCGCCCCGAAACTTGGGTATTTTAAATCACTCTCAGATATAATTATTTTTTAAGTTATTTTTAGCAGGAATGATGATAATTCTAGAAAAATTCTAGAAAGAAACCAAATTCTGAAACCCTGAAAATATTGGGTGGGCTTTCAACATATTTTCAACTGGTTCACCTAGAAACTGAAATATAAAATTCATTTTCAATTGACTCATGGTTGGCAGGGGAAACAGGAATCACAGAAAGTGTGTGCACATTAAATAAATATGTCCTAAGTAACAATAAAACCATATATACAGATTTTGGCACAACAGAATAGATTATGTGAATTCCATATCATAGGTTTCTCTTTAAGTATTATCTGTTAAAACTTTTAAGGTTGTGTTTTTCCTTTGCCATGGCCAGTCAAGTTTCTTCTGAAGTCTGTTGGGGAATAGTTGTTTTCGGCTTGAAGGCTAAAATTACTTTTCCATTGCAACATTTATGTTCACTGCCCAGGTGGCTTCAGTCGCATCTCATTACTTTTGATGTTTTTTACTTTTGGAGATTTCTATAAGTAAAGAAAAATAAGAAGGGTTCATCAGAAATGTGTATTGGAAATAGCCAGGAAAGAAACTACGTGCTTTCAAATACTGTTTATAGTATACTCACATGCATATATGTTTTTGGGAAAATAATTAGAAGCAAAACAAGAGGAGGCAAACAAACAAACAAAAAGCCAACCAAAAAACAAAATAAGACAAGGAAGAAATATAAGCTCTTCAGGAACAAGATACATATTTCTATGAGGTAGGAGACAATACCTTAAGTGTGTAAAGTGTTTTTCAGTTTACAAAGTGCTTTTCTTTGCATTTTAGTTTAGAAAATCTCTATTATACAGGCTATGTAAGGTAAAAACAACAACAACAAACCACTGAATCCACAGTGAAGAGACTTGCCCAGCAATCACACAGCTAGTAAGAGACTGAAGCTTGATTGTGCTCTGAAAGTGTCCGATTGCAGACCCATTGCCTCGGCTGTGACACGAGGCCTACAGAATGGAACCCAAACCTAGTGGAGTTCCAAAGACTGCACAGGGGGAAAAGAGTACCTATAAATGTTAAACTGAAGAAAAAGTACCAGGTCCCAAGCGTAAGCAGAATGATTTACTGTTTCTGAGGAGCACATACAGATTTTCCATTAACGCAAAATAACACTGTATCAAGCCCTCAAGTAAAGCAAGCTATACCACAGTAGGGATTCTATGTTCAGGCAAGACACTTCATGCCTTTCCATTAGGGCTTTGGGGAGCATGGGGGCTGGGAGGTTTAAAAAAATTCTACTAGCATCCACTATAATGGTCAAGAGGTACAGAAAACCTGTCATCTCTTTTGCTCTCCCATACCTGCATTGTACTAGTGATCTGTTGAGTGCTAGCCATGTGGCCCTGAAGAGGAACACTTCAAGGTTCTTGACTCTGAGCTCTCATTAGCCTATGACTTCTTCCCTTCCTTCCCTCCTTCCCTTCCTTCCTCTCTTTCCCCCTCCATTTCCTTCTTTTCTTCTCCCTCCCTGTCTTTTTCCTCTTGTTTTTTCCCTTCTTTCCATCTCTTCCTCTCTCCCTCCCCTTCTCTTTTCTCTCCCCTCTTTTCTCCTTCTCCTCCCTCTCCCTCCTCCTTCTCCTTCCTCTTCCCTCCCTCCCTTCCTTTTCTTCCTTCCTTCCTTCCTTCCTTCCACATACTAGCTGTATAACCTTAAGGAAGTTACCTAGCCTTTATGTGCTTCATTTCTTCATGTTTAAAAAGAAGAAGGGGTAAGGGTTAATAATTCCTATTTTACAGGGTTATGACAAAGATTAAATTAGGTAATAGATGCAAAGAGTTTTACATTTAACACTAAAGAGGTTCACTGTCTCACCAACTGTTAGCTATTTTTATTACATGTGTGAAATATAAAGACAAAGTATAGTTTTGTGACATCTGAGGAGCTCACAGACTAACTGGGAAAGAAGAAAGGAGATGTCAAAGCAGAAAGAAGTGGAATTTCTCCACACATCATGCTAATTTCTCTGGAAGCCTCAATTTATGTTCCTGCATCAACATCTCTCAATGCTAACTGGGGCGGGGAGCTGAGGGTAGGGGGTGGGATGGGGTAGTCAAGTGGCCTAATGAGAGAAAGCCTGGATTCCATGCGCTTATGATTTCATTCTTTCTCATCACCCGCCAGTCCCAACTTCTACCTTTAGATTTTTAGGTCTTCCTCACATCTCAAACAGCAATAAAACTACACACTGTCAAATATACATTATAGATGAAGGAACACAGCTTTTTAGGCAGTATGCCCAGATTTAATTCCCACTTCTATCACCTACTATCTTTATCTGTAAAAAGGGATAGCAACATTATTTCTCCCTCACAGTATTGCTTTCCTTGTAGGAAGAAGGGGACAAGGGCAAATGAGATCAATATATTGTGATATAAAGAAAGGGAATCTGAAGAACGAGGTCTGATTCCTGAGTCTAAGACTTATGGACTGTGTGTCTGGAGGAATCTCTGAATTCCATTTCTCTATCAAGGAATGAGTTGTGATAGTAATAACTGAATCATAGAGGTGAGGAAATATCAAACGAAATAATGGATCTGCAAGTGCTTTGTACAATGTAAAGTGCTACAGAAGTATTACCTGTTATTACCATCTCATATTCACATAAAACTATTTATAAGCCTGTAGTCTGAAAGTTCAATCTGTCATCTTGACAGTTATTAGTCTCATTCTCCCTTGTCAATAAACTGATTTAAGATAGTACATAGTTAAGCAGAAAAATGGGAGGTGAGGGAATTAGAATAATCAGATTATCTCAGTATAAAATAATAGGATTTAAATAATCTTAGTTTGGAGGGGACCTTACAAGTTGCCTTTCCCTGATCGAGCCCAATCTTCCATCCAGCACGAGAACACCTCAAACAACACTTGGGTTCTTGTGGCCAGTTCAAGTTGACAGAGCAGATCTCACATTGAATAGAATCTCAAAATGTACAGGAACTGACTTTTCTGAAAATTGTTTAGGTTTTAAAATTCAAACTGATTTAAAAGCTTCAACTCTTTTGGCATTCATCAACCATTCCTTTTGGAAATGTCACAAACTTTATATGGAGGTGATGTTTCTTACACTGAATTGAATATTCACTGATGGCTTTTGAATTCACATTTACTTAAATGACTAAATTAACTGAGGGATGTAGAATCATGTACACCCCTTGGAGATCAAGCCAAACACTTCATCCATAGAAGAACAGGTAAACAATGCAGTCTTGTTTTGTTTTTCTCTCTAAAAAGTATTCTTTAGTAGTTAAAATCTACATCTTTGTAAGAATAACCTATTATTCAATCCACACAATAAAGCTTTATATATGTAAAATCAGATGAATTTTTTGAATGAGAAGATTAAGGTGAAAGAAAAACATCCATTTCCTTTTAGTTTAGAGGAATCAAGTTCAAATTCAAGTTTATCTAAAATTGCTTTACATTATCTTCTAATGCTGATGCTTCCTAAGGAGTGAATTTGAACCACTGCTAGTCACACCCTGCTCATTTTCCCTTTGGGAAACTTTGGGATCCAGTCTCCTCAAATTGCTCAAGCTGATGATGAACAGTAGAACCTGCAGAAAGCACAACTACTTCTTAGAGGAGGCAGCTCAACTGTGAAATGTGGCTTCCTGGAATCTCTTCTCAAGATTTTCAACTGGATTTTCATCCATTTACCCATTTTCATATCTGTATCTAACCTCTACTTTCCTTAGGACCTTCTGTAATTAAGTTATTGGCTGAGATTGAAATAGCTGCTGTATTTCTTCCTATCATCATATTTCATCATTTTTTTAGGGGTGAGTCTTATATTTATACTCATGGCAACTATTTTTGCACACAAGAAATGTTTCATAGTTGTCACACATTGTCCATCAAGCCCAAAATGGGAATCTGGGGCTCATTTCTTTGTTCAAGAAATAATTATCAAGAGAGTCAGCACTCTTTTAGAATCTAAGGATAGAGCAAACCGATAAAAATCCCTGCCTCTATGGTGCCCTCATGTGGGGAAGGTGACCCCTGGTCAAAATAAAAAAGTAAGGTGTATATAACATGTTGGATGGCACCAGGGAGATAGGCAGCCCCATACAGGAAGGTTTTAATTTTAAATAAAGTGTTTACAGAAGGGATCACTAAGAAGCCAATGGTTAAGGAAAGACTGACCGAAGACAAACCTCAAAGTCCGTCACTCTCTGGGGGAAGATTATGCCATTTGGAGAAAACAGTCTGTGTAGGTGTTGAGGATGCAGCACACTAGAGTTTCAGAGAAACAGTTGGGAGGCCAAAGTAGCTAGATAGTGACAAAGGAGGAGAAGTAGAGAGGCCATTGGAGGGTTTTGAGGAAAGGAGTTACATGATCTGACTAAGGTTTTCACACATGCACTCTTGGCTGCTGTGTTGACAATGGACAGCATGAGGCAAGGGCAGAAGCAGACTGGGGCACCTGGGTGGCTCAGTTAGTTAAATGTTTGACTCTTGACTTTAGCTCGGGTCAAGATTTCGCCGTTCATGGGTTTGAGCCCCACATTGGGCTCTACACTGAGAGTGAGAAGCCTGCTTGGGATTCTCTCTCTCTCCGTCTCTTTGCCCCTGCCCCACACATGTGCTCTGGAAAGAAAGAAAGAAAGAAAGAAAGAAAGAAAGAAAGAAAGAAAGAAAGAAGAAAGAAAGAAAGAAAGAAAGAAAGAAAGAAAGAAAGAAAGAAGCAGACTGACTAGGAAGCCAATACAAGAATCCAAAAAAGAAATGATGATGACTTGGATTAGGTTGACAACAGTAAACATGGTAAAAATAAATAGTCGTATTCTAGATATTGCTTGAGGATAAAACCAGTAGGATTTGCTGATAAAATGAGTGTGATGAGTGAGAAGAGAAAAGTTGTCCATAATTCTTCCACTGCATTGTTTTTCAAAATGTGTTCCAAAGAACCTCCTGCCTCACAGTCACATAAAATATACGTCAAAATAGATTCCTAGTTTCTACCTGAGAACTACTGAATTAGACTGTTTAGAGCAGAGGTTAGAAAACTTTCATTCTAAAGGATCAGAGAGTAAATATTTTAGGCTTTGCATATGGTTTCTGTCAAAATCACTCGGGCAATATTAAATGAATGAGTGTGGCTGTTGTTGCAATACAATGTTATATAGACATTGAAATTTGAATTTCATGTAATTTCCATGTCACAAAAAATATTTTTTCGTTGTCTTTTTCTAACATTTAAAAATGAAATAACAAATATTCTTAGCTCATGGGCATACAAAAACAGACAATGGGACAGGCTGACCGACTCACTGCCAGTTTGCCCATCTTGCTCTAGACAGCAGATTCCAAGAATATGTATTTTCCCCCAAGAATATGTATTTTTAAGATGCTCATAAAGTGACTTTTTTATGTGCAAGAACTTAAGAGAATCACTGCAATAAGTTTTGAAAGTTACTGTCAACTGTTCCTTTTTCCTTTACTTTGTTCATTGGTCAGAATAAAAAA